TTAGAATTTGAGGGAATTAAAGCCAGGAATCGCACACCATTACACAAAAGCAACAGTAAAGGAACTCCGTGAAGTTAGAAAAGTCTTCCTGAACTCTGCTTGCCTCATTCTAAAACTTCAGGAAAGGTAATTTCACATGAAAACGAGCAACAGAAAAGTATCAAGATTGTCTTAGTTTCCTAGTGTTGTTGTAGCACAAATAACACAAGTGGGTGGCTTTAAAGAACAGAATTTTATTTTCTTACGCTTCTGGAGGCTAGAAGTCCAAATGAGGATCTTGGCCATGTCAGTTCCTTCTGTGAGCCTCTCTCCTAGTTTCTGGTGTCTGCCAGTGATTCTCGTGTTCCTTTTCTTATAGACGGGCCCTCACATGGTATCTGTCTTTCCCCGTGTGTGTGTCTCTGTGTCTGTTCTGGTTGTTTTACAACTCAGAATTGATTAGGTTTAGAATCTACCCTATACTTGTATGATTGGTTGTATTACATTAGATTGCATTATTGAAGATGATTTCATTACAGTCTATTACATTATAGAAAGTAATCAGGTCTGCCCAAGGCTAACTGATTTAATCACGTATAACTGCTCCATAATAGCAACTAGACTAGTGTTTGGCCAAACAGGTAGGAACCTAGACTAGCCAAATTGACACATAATATTAACCACCACAAAGGTCAAATTCCAAACAACAATATGTGAGAAAAATGAGAATTAAGAGAAGAATAACATTCCTACAGACAATCAAAGTGCAAAGATGTGTCCACAAAAAGATAAACCTACTGTTTTAAAACAAATTAAACGACATTAAGAAAAGTATATAGGGTATAAAAGAACCTCAAAGTCAGGATTAGACAAATTTAGAAATGAAACGACAGACCCAGGAAAGAATTAGAAATAAAAATATCATATCAGAAATGACGAATAAATTAGAAGGAACAGATGAGCAGTAAACAGAAGTTAAAAAGAGGGTTGTTTTTAATCAGAAAGAAATGAAGGAAGAGAGGAAAAGGAGTCAAGAGAAAATAGCAAGTATGGAAGATAGGCAAAGAAGATTATGTGATTTTAAGAGTCAGAACAGATACTATATTAGTTATCTGTTGCTGTGTAACACATCAGCCCAAAACTTAGGAACTTTGAAGCAACAAGTACTGTTTAACTTCACAGTTTCCAAGGGTCAGGAATGTGGGAACGGCTGTATGTGTGGCTCTTAGCACAGGATTTGTCATGCGGTTGCAGTCAGGTCATGGGCTGCTGTCATCTCAACACTTGACTGGGGCTGAAGAATCCACATCCCAGCTCACCCCTGTGGTTGTTGGCAGATGTCGGTTTCTCACCACGTGGGCCTCTCCTTAGGGGCTTTCTCACGGCATGCAGTGTGTTCTACCCAGAGGGAGTGATGCCAAGAGAGAAAGCCAGCACCCAAGACAGACACTACGGTTCTTCATAACCAATCTCAGAACTTGACGTAGTGTTGCCTCTGCCATATGCTATTGATCGTACAGACCAGCCCTGGTATACAGTGGGAGAGCAAACCATACAAGGGTGTGAATACCAGGTGGTGGGGATCATTGGGTGCCATCTTGGAGTCTGGCTGCCACAAATATACTAGTACCTGTATTTCAAGAAAACGCTCCTGAAATTAAAAAAAAAAAAAATGGAAACCACATGTTTAATGAGCACATCTGAAATATCCAGCCGAACAACCAACATTAAGACATATTCTACTAAAATTATTGGACTTAAAAAAAAGAAAAAAATCATTTGGACATGTAGAAAAGAGAGTATGTGACTTAAAACGGAAAGAAAGTTAGGCTTTCATTGGACTTTTTAAAAGCAGCACTTTGTGCCAGAAGGAAATGGAGTTCACTCAAGGATTTCATAATCAGCAAAACTGACTTACAAGTATAAAGGGCACAAACTATTATTAGTATGCAAGAATTGAGGAAATATTCTTCCCATGAGCCCTTTCTGAGGAATCTATGAGAGAACAACTTTCAGACAACTAAAATGACTAGAGAGTGATCGTAAGGAGTAGGGTGAGCATTAAGTACATGGTTACCTCTAGAACTAGGACTAATCGAGGGCTAAGAGGGAGAGTATAGTATGTAACAACTATAAGCTCTAACAACATAGATACAGCATAGCCATTTGAAAAATGGGGGGAAAATGGGGAGAGCACATGCAAAAAAGTTTTAACGTTTTCACTAATTGTATTTGGTAGTAAAACTAATACTGTTATTCTGAGACTTGTGTAATAAGGTATAAAACAAATGAGTAATTATGGGCTGTCCTAATGTTAACATTCTCTCTGTCCTTGAGAACTGGCGTTCTTGATATGGAAAAAAAGACAGAAAAATGTAATAGAGAGGAGCTTGACTAAAAGCTCTGTAGTCTTGAATTTAAAGTGAAAGTATCACTTGTCAAGAACTGTGGGTCTGAAATTTTGCCTTACTTGCAGGCCAACAAGTTCACCTGCCACAGTTTCATGGGTCAGAGACAAAGGACAGTTTGTTGCTCACGGCAGTACCAATAGCCAGGGCATCAGCATTTTTGTGCTGGTTCTCTGAGCCCCAAAACACACAGGGCAGTGTGAAGAGGACAGATGGTATCTTGCATTACCAGAGAGAACACTGAGCTTAGGGAACTCTAGCCTTTTTTAATAAGCAGTAAGCATGCCTGCCTATTGCTCTAGAGAGAGACACTGTCTTTATCTTGTAAGGCTATAAGCAAACTGCCCTTCGCTCTGGAGAGAGACATTATCTCTATCTGCCAAAACTTTTTGCTATATAAACACCCTTAGAAAGATAGCCTGGAACAAAGGGCAGTCACTTGTAAGATGTGCACAAATACTAGAGATCCATGGAGAATTGTCTCCCAACATCAATATGAACTCATGAGGTATTTCCTACTTCTTTCCACTGAAAGCAGCCCAGGTGGCACAGTGGTTAAGAGCTTGGCTGCTAACCAAATGGTTGGTAGTTCGAATCCACCAATCACTCCTTGGAAACCCTATAAGGCAGTTCTGCTCTGTTCTGTAGAGTCACTATGAGTCAGAATCAACACCACGGCAACGGGTTTGGTTTTTTTTTTTTTTGGTCCACTGAAAAGACCTAGAAAATATGACCAACCCAGTAGCAGTGAACATCACTAGTGCCCAGACTGTGAGCTTGAAATATGATTTCTCTCTTAAAGGAACCAGGGCTTCTTGAAGAAATGACTAATTATAGGTCTGGGGCAAGAAATGTTCAAGATGATCCTGGAATATCTTATTATACCACAGCAAGAAAGTTATTAGATAACTAGGGACATATCAGAAGATCTTAGGTGCTAGCTTGAAGAGGCTCTCATTGGCCAAAGATAGGACAAGTTGAGCTTCAGTAATAATAATTACAGTTGATTTAAACATGCCTTAAATCCTTGAGTTCATAATGATATTTAAAAAAAAAAAATTTTGGTTCTCTTAAGAGGATTAAAAGAACCCCAGATTCATTATAATGTGAAATATATTGGTAAAACTGGTAAAGTGACAAAATCAAGCATTTAGCCTGCCTCTCCTGTATAACTGTTATTTTTGTTGTTAGTTGCTGTTGAGTCAATTCTGACTCATAGCGATCCCATGTGTGCAGGGTAGAACTGCTCCATAGGGTTTTCAAGGCTGTGACCTTTCAGAAGCAGATTACCAGGCCTCTCTTCTGAGGCACCCCTGGGTGGGTTTGAACCGTCAGCCTTTTGGGAAGTAGTCGAGCACTTAACCATGCGCTACCCAGGGCCTCAGTAATCAAACAGTAGATAAGAGAAAGTGTCTCTTCATGAATGTATTTTAACTAGTAAATGAGAAAGAAATGACAGAATTAGACTCCCACCATTTTACAACCCCTAGTGATGCATCAAATGCTGTCAAGATCATAAAAAGAGAGACAACCAGACATTGCATGCCTCTTGTAGTATTGCCAAGGGGCTCGAGCTGGAGTCTGATCCAGTCTTTGGATCCAGCTGCCAAATGGCAGCAAGTACAGAGGGCAGAGGAACAGATGGAATTGTCCCAAGAGTGTGCGATCAGCAAAATCCAGACTGTGAGAAATTCTGCAGGTCAGACAGCTCAGGTGCTTCAACAGATAATTTGTAGGAAATTAAAGAGATAATTGACAAAGTTGTGGATAAGAGATTTAAAAAACATCAAATATTTTTAAATGGACAGGACTAAACTATAGTGCCTAGGGATGCACATTTAGGTAATGCTATTATAATAAAAGTAATCACTATGAAAGTCAGGATAATGTTTACTCTTAAGGAAGGGAGGAGGTTGTGACTGGGGTGGGGATATGGGAGGGCTTCTGGGGTGACTGGCAAAGTTCTTTTTCTTGACCTGGGTGATGGTCATTTAAAGCATTTCATTTGGATTCATGTCGGTTTCTTTATCTGTATATTATTTTATAATAAAAAGATGGGGGGAAAACATACTAGATAAGAAGAAGCTAGTCTGGGTTTTAATATTTTTTTGTGTGATAATCTTCCTGCTCCACAGATAAGCAAGAGCTAAATTTCAATAGATTTTTGAGAACCTGGAAGGACTTATAGAGTTATTCGACATTATCAAATTATGTTATTGAGCGTTCTCTCATATATGGCACCATATTAGCCTAAGACTGCATAGAGTAGTTCAGTGTAGACAAGGTACCAGTATCCTTTTTTTTTTCGTAATAGTATTTTTTTTCCAGAATATAACAGTAAAACATGTTCATTATTTTAAAAAATTAGAAATAAAAAAGTATAAAAAATAAAAGATCTCCTGTTATTCCGTTATGCAGAGATAACCATAAATAATATTTTTATGTTTCCTTTTATATGTTAATACATGTACATTGGGAAAATATACAGTTTTGTACCTACTTTATTTCTTATCTCAGGCTCTATACTTATATTCAGGCCTTAGGTTGATTACATATAGGATCATGATCCCTTTCTAAGTAGAATTTATTAGATTTGGATTTTTTTTTCCCTAGGTGGGCTACATCATGCAGCTGCCCGAATTTCTGGTGATAATGTCTACAAGCATTTGAAGTATGAAGGTGGGATTCACCGAGTTCAACGAATTCCCGAGGTTGGCCTGTCATCAAGGATGCAGCGTATTCACACAGGAACAATGTCAGTTATTGTCCTTCCTCAACCAGATGAGGTAACCTCACCAGGAGGCATTGAAAACTCATCTATGTAAACAAGGAGTATGTGGAGAAGGCTTAGCTTTTAGGAAAATCTGTTATTTTCATGGTTACAGATTAAACTTCACAGTCTCGAATGGGAAGTCTTAAACTCTTCTGCCTGTAAAGTTGCCACTTTTACCCATGAATGTGATATTTGTTTGTTTGTTTTTTAAAATAGAAGTCACTTTTTTTCAAAACAACAATTCACAGACCTTCTTTAATGTTGTTGCCTAAGTTCTATCTTAAAAAAGAAAATTGATTCCATAGATAATATTACATCACTGAGGTCAGTGATGTAATATCTCTGAAAGGTTTGTATGTCTTATGAGTTGAATACAGCCATCTTCCCTATTTTTTTTTTTTAAATTTAACATGGAGAAAGTTGAAAGAATAGTACAATGAAAGCTTGTACACCTACTCCTCACTTACCGACATGGGTAGGTTCCAAAGACCGGGTCATTATATGAAAATTGGCATTACATGAAAATGAAGGATAGCTACATCACATCACAAAGTGGAGGATGACTGTATTATTACATAACCGCCAAATTATATCATTACATAACTGCCAAACCACTGAGAATCATGGCCCAGCCAAGATAATACATAACCTTAACCATCACAGCCAGCATTACTCTCGCCTTGCACCTCAGCGTTCATTACTGCCAAGCAAAGGTTGTTAATGTGCAAAATAGTCGGATAGTAGAGCTTTTACTGTTGGCATACATGCAAAATGTCAAATAACGAGATAGTCGATAAGTGAGGAGTAGGTGTATAACTTTTTCTGGAATCAGCAGTTGTTAACATTTTGCCACATCTGCTTAATTCCTGGTGTGTGTTGTTGTTAGATACTGTTGAGTCGATTTGCAACTTGCATCAATTCCATGACACAGTAGAACTGCCCCATAAGGTTTCCTAGGCTGTAATCTTTATGGAAGCAGATCACCAGGTCTTTCTGCTGTGGAGCCCTGAGTGAGTTTGAACTGCCAAACTTACAGTTAGGAGCCGAGTGCTTAATCGTGCCACCAAGGCTCTTTGCTTGATTTCTGTACATATGTATGTACATTTCTTTAATGAACTCTAAAGGACATGGCAGACATCATGAGACTTCACCCCCCAAATCTTCAACATATTTCTTCTAAGAATAAAGAGGATATTCTCCTATGCAGTATAAGCACAATACCGTTATCTGTGAAAATCGGCAATAATCCTGTAATATTATCTAATATTCTGTCCATTTTATCATTTCCCCAGTCATATTTTTATAGCTATTTTTAAAAACCAGAATCCAATCAAGTTTCACACATTGCAGTTAGTTGTTATGTCTCTTTAAGTCTGGAACAGCCTCCCAAGTTTTGTATTTTTTTATGACATTGACTTTTTTAAGAGTTCAGAGCAATTATCTTGTCGAATGTGTCACATTCTGGATTTATCTGATTGTTTTCTCATGGTGCTATTTAACTTGTTGTTTTATCCCCTGTACTATATTGAAATTTATATCTAAATGTTCTGTTCCATTCCGGTTACAAGTTTTGAACAAGAATACTTAATAAGTGAAGTTATATTCATGTTGCATCTTATTAGAAGGCACATAATGTCAAATTGTCCCACTGTTAGTGATGCTTAGTTTGAGCATTTAGTTAAGGTGGTGACCACAAAAATCTCTCCATTGTGAAAGTATATTTTTCCGTTTGTAATTACTAAGTAATCTCTAGGGTACATCTATCCTGCTCCCAGTGCCTTTTATCCATGGTTTTTACATCAGTTGGTGGTCCTTCTTGGAATCAGTTATTTAGTTTGTTGTTGGAAAATGGTGAATTTCTAATTCTGTCATCCCGTCTGCCATTTATCTATAAAGGACATTATAGACTCCTGGATTTATTTTTTAGTTCAATGAATTATTATTCTTTTTTGATGCTCAAATTGTCCAAATTTGTCCAGTAGTATCAGTGGACAAACTTGGGAAATATATGTTTTTAAATCACAAGTTCGTATTATTATTACCAATTCAGATTTAATAGTAACAGAGTTCCTCCTCCTCAACTTCTTGCATTTGTATTTATATCTCTTTCCTCTTAGAATAAGGAGCCCTTGTGGTACAGTGGTTAAGCTCTCGGCTGCTAACCAAAAAGCTTTCGGTTAGAACCCACCCAGCCATTCTATGGGAGAAAGACCTGGCGATCTGCTTTCATAAGGATTAAACAGCCTGCGAAACCTTATAGGGCAGTTCTACTCTGTCGCAGGGGATAGCTCTTAGGATCAACTCAACGGCACACAACAACAACAACCCGTCAGAGTAAAACTCTTATTTCTTAATCTCTCTAAATATATATTTACTTAACTCGCTTTATTATTCAGTATACATAAAATAGTTCAAAATTACAATACCGACATTACTAACGGTAAACTACTGAGTAAAGTTTAAGATTTCTGTCGTTACAATATATGCCACCAAGAATGCATAGTCAGAGCACTTGTTCAGAGAGCATCAGAAATTCTTGTTTTCTGTGTGGCTATGCCATCAATATGATAAATATTTCTGTTCATGTGTTTCTGCTTGTATTCAATTTTAAGATACTATTTTTCTTTCCTCGTTTATTTAATTTTAGTTTTGGCATATATAAACATTTAAAGCAGCCCTGGTGGCACAGTGGTTAAGCGCTTCGCTGCTAATGAAAAGTTCGGTGGTTCCAACCCGCTCCATGGGAGAAAAATCTGACAGTCTGCTTCTGTAAAGATTTACAGCCATGGAAACCCTATGGGGCAGTTCTAGTCTGTCCTGTAGGGTCGCTGTGAGTCAAAATTGACTTGACAGCAATGGGATGGGTTGTAAACATTTATATCATCCAGAAATCAAACCATAGAGTCGTCTTGCTTCCATCCTTATTTCCTTCTATTCTTTTTTTTTTTCCTCTGTGTTTTTGAAAGTTAAACTCATTTAATGGAGGCTCCACTTTTCTAAAAGAACAAGGTCATGTTCTTTTAATTGGTGTTTAAAATTCTTTTTGTTACTAAGTCATTGTTTCTATGTTCAGAATTCTCCAAAAGTCATGAGGTAGTTTCTGTCACATTTGGGAGACAATGGTATTTGATATTCACATACTTGCTAACTAACTACTTAATACACTATAACCATATGAAATGGGAAATTACTCTTAATTTCTTTAGTGCTTAGTGAAAATTTAAGGTGGCCAACACTAGCATATTTTAATCAAAAATGTGTATTATAATCTTTGCACTATAATAATCTTCCTTCTGTATAATCTTGCTTTTTTGGCACAATTCACTGTATAGTACTTAGAGGAAAAATACAAAGAACTACCAACTGAGTGATATTTTAGATTCTAACGTTGACCCTGTTATTAGTGTACTTTTCAAAGAGAAAAATCACCCATAATGTCTGTCATTCATACAAGTAAGTGATGTATATCGAAACAAAATGTTCGACTTCCCTTCAAAAACAGCAATATTTTGTAACTTTATTTAGTCATATACAGGTACACACAGATTTTTTTTTTTTTTCTTTTTAGTATGTTCTGTCTTAGAATGGGTGCCCTGGTGGTACAGTGGTTAAAAACCTGGCTGCTAACCAAAAGGCCGGCAGTTTGAATTCACCAGCCATTCCTTGGAAACCCTATGGGGCGGTTCTACTCTGTCCTGTAGGATCGCTATGAGTCGGAATCAACTTGACAGCAACGAGTTTGGGTTTGGTTATCTTATGATGAAACTTACAAAAGATTACTTAACTCAGTTATCTCAAAACATCCTAAGTCAGTGTTAAAAAATAGCATGCCATTGGAATAGAGAGTTTGTGATTCTTTCTTTTTTTGTAAGTTATTTCTCCTCTTAGTCTAATGGCTATGACTTCTTTTAACACAAAACAGTACATTTTATTTGAAAAATCTTGGAATAAATTTAGTATTAAAGTGTTCACTAAGTGTAGAATTACTCGTACCACACCTTTTGCTCTAGGTAGATGTGAAAGTGGACCCCAGGGATTTGCGAGTAGATACATTTCGAGCCAGAGGAGCAGGAGGACAGCATGTTAATACAACCGATAGTGCTGTCAGACTCGTCCATATCCCCACAGGTGAGCATGTCCCTTTGCTTGTATACTTTCAACCTTTTTTTCACACCTTATAAAACTTAATTCAGCATTTGGAAGAAAATAATCCTATGTTAGTGTCTGGTTCCTTGCACCCTTTAAAGATGACCCTGCAGTTGTGGATCTAAGGCCCCTGTCTTAGTTACCTAGTGCTGCCATAACAGAAATACCACAAGTGGGTGGCTTTAAAGAACAGAGATTTATTTTCTCGTAGTTCAGGAGGCTAGAAGTCTGAATTCAGGGCGTAACTATGGGGAGGGTGTTCTTTTTTGTCTGTTTCAGCTTCTAGTAGTTCCTGGGCTTGTAGATGCATCCACTGTGTGTGTCTGTGTCTGTCTCCATATGGCGTCTTTCCCCTGTGTGTGTCTCTGTGTCTGTTCTCGTATTTTTATAACTCACAAGTGATTAAGTTTAGGATCCACCTTACACTGGTGTGGCCCCATTAACATAACAAAAGAAAACCTTTATTTCCAAACAGGATTATATCCACAGGAATTCAACACATGTTTTAGGGGGGCACAATTCAGTCCATACCACCGTTCTTCATCCACTTTCTGTCATATGTTGTATTTGAAGATTACATATGTCACCTAGTTTCATTTCAGATGGAGTTTGTGTTTGTTTTGTTTTTCTTATTGTTTTAGTGTGATTTTCAAAAGAAAGACGACCATCTTGAAATCAGATGTCAGTTTTAAATTTTAAATTAATTTTCAGCCAATTATTATTGCTTTACACAGTTTATAGTACCAAAAGTTGAAACAACCCTAAATGCACAATAGGATAATTTTATAGTTTCTCTTAAGTTTTATTGATTTTTATTCCATAAAATATTAGAATATACATATAAGCAAAAGAATATGAAACATCTATAACCATACCCAGTAACTATTATTGTATTTATCTTTGGTGTATCCTTTCAGATAATTTTCTTCTCTATACATATCTAATATATCATTTTTCCCCTAAAATAAGGTTATATATTTTGTAGCCTACCATAATTTATTTAAGCAATTCACAGATTGTTGAGTTTTAGGGTGTTTTCAATTAATGCCTGTATTGTTCAATATTATTCTGTATTATAAGCAGTCCAGAACAGGAATAGTTATCTTAAAATGAATTTAAAAATAAAAATGAGGCAAAAACTAACTTAAATTCTAACAATTGATCCAAAATATTTCAAAACATATTAATGGGTTTAAAACTTACCCTGTGCAGCAATAAATTACCTGCTTTTAAAAAGATGACTGATCATTGTGTTTCCAAACTTACCTTGGGCCAAATTATTTAACTACTTGGATCTTGTTCTTTGATATAAATGAGGCCTTGAGGCTTACCTTTAAACTTCCCCTTTGGGCGAGGCATATCAAAGTCTACTAACTCTTTTTTTAATTGTTGAGGATATACACAACAGAACATACACCAATTCAACAGTTTCTACATGTATAATTCAGTGACATTGATTAGATTCTTCGAGTTGTACAACCATTCACACCCTCCTTTTCTGAGTTGTTCCTCCCCCATTAACATAAATTCACTCCCCTAAAGTTCCTATCTAATCTTTTGAGTTGCGGTTGTCAGTTTGATCCCCTATAGATGGATCTTAAAAGGGCATAATGCTCAAGGCAGATATTTGTTACTAGTTAAGCTAAACTATTGTTTGGTTTTAAGAAGATGTCAGGGAATATTTTTGGGTTAAGGTTTAAAGATTATCCCAGGACAATAATTTCAGGGGTTCATCCAGCCTCCATTGCTCTGGAAAGTCTAGCGTATGTGAGAATTTGAAATTCTGTTCTACATTTTCTCCCTTTTGATAAGGATTCATCTATAGAATCTTTGATTAAAATGTTCAGTGATGGTAGCTGGGCACCATCCAGTTCTTCTGGTCTCATGGTGAAGGAGGCAGTTGTTCATGGAGGCAATTAGCCATGCATTCCATTTCCTCCTATTCCTGACTATTCTTCTTCCTCTGTTGCTCCAGGTGAATAGAGACCAATTGTGCCTTGGATGGCCACTTGCAAGCTTGTAAGACCCTGGGCACTACGCAACAAACTAGGAGGTGGAACAGGAGCACTAAACACGTTATTAGGCCACTTAACTGGGATGTCCCATGAAACCATGACCCTAAACCTCCAAACCAAGGAACCAAATCCCGTGAGGTGTTTGGTTGTACATAAGCAGCCTCAGCAGCTACTCTTTTTTTTTTTTTTGGTCATTGGTGTGAATGTATCTGTCACACAACTTTTGCCAATTCAACTTTTTACAGGTGTACAACTTATTGACAGCAATTACAGTAATCGGCTGTGTAACCCTACCTGTAATCAGTGTAATTTTTCCATCACTGTAAACCGAAACTCAGTACTCCATATGCAGTAACCCCCCTTTTTCCCTCCCTCCCACCCCTGATAACCATTAATAAATTTTGGTCTCTGTACAGTTGCTTATTCTTGTCCTTTTATATAATTGAGGTCATACGATATTTATCCTTTTGTGACTGACTTATTTCACTTAGCATAATAACTTCTAGCTCCATCCATATTGTAGCATGTATCAAGACTTCATTTCTCTCAAGGCCTGCTAACTCTAATGAATCCATGTAGTTATGGGTAGGTGATATCTTGAGGCCACTTCTTCACACTTCGTGTATTGTTGTGATTTCAGCATCTATTTCAAGAAAAACTCAGTCTTTTTCCCAGTTCTTCCATTCTGAGACCCTTAGAAGGGGAGCTATGTCCTGGCTAGAATTGAAAGTCAGCACTCTAGGCCATTCCTCCATTTTCTCCATGCCGATGGACTCTGAAGAACTGCATCTTTTCTATCCTAGTGCCTCTATATAAACTCTGTTTTTTACCATAAGAAAATACGTAAATGTTTGTACAGGGAAAAATTACTTTTTGTGGGGGTAGAACTTACCCAAACAAAGATGAAGACAAATGAATAGTTTGTGCTGTGAAGCAGCCTTGTCAGTTGGTTACCAGCTGGTGAATAAAAGTGGGCGTCTGTGAGTCTTCCACTGCTGTCCTTCGATCCCATAGATTATCAGTAACACCTAACTCTTCTAAGGTAAATTTAATCTTTTACATCAATTTGTCGTTTTAAGGTTAACGGATTTTTTTTGTTTGTTTGCTTTTTGTTTTATACAAGAGATTAGTCCTTTTTTAAAAAAATAATATTTTGTTTTCAGTGAAGGTTTACACAGCAGTTTAGGTTCCTATTTAACAATTTCTACACAAGTTGTTCAGTGACATTGGTTACTTTCTTCATAATGCGTGAACGTTCTCATTATTTCCCTTCTGATTGTTCCATTTCCATTAATTACTGCCCCCCTTGCATTCTCATCTTTGTTTTAAGGTTAACAGATTTTTATTATTCCTTTGGTTATATATAATTTATTTCATCTAATCTAATAAGAAACCATCAACTGAAGGACACATCACTATTTTATTACCATGATAAAAAACACTACCAATTAAGCTATGACATGCCAGTGATTGTAAGATACATCCCAACTGAGAGATGCTAAAATGTGAAAAAATGTATTTTATAGATTCTATAAAATACTGTATTTTGTTCCCATTTATGATCACAAATCTTTTAAATAATGTGTTTAGTTATTCAGCAAATATATATTAAACGTCCACATTGTACTACCCATTTGCTACCTAGAATTTTGGAATCTTCTGTAGAGTGTTGAAACAACACTGATAACATCTATTTTCTCTAAAACCCTTTTATAAAGTTCTCTACCAACCCCAGCACCTTGTGGTTTCAACAGCTCTTCTGTTACTCAGCATACTTTTTTCTTTTCCAAATCCTTTATTTCTGGGAGAGTACGTATGATTAAATACACCTTTATAGAACGTGTATTAAAATATGTAATCAGGCCATTCCCTTAGGAATTACTGAGCTGCTAAGTAATAGCTGTAGGCTGATTGTTCTAATCTGAGCCAGTAGATATGAATAGATAGCAGGTGCCTAGGCAGATATCAGTAAGAGTCAGCTGACAAGAAGAGGAATTTGGAGGAAAGCTCCTGAAAGTCTAGCTATCTTGAAATGGGAGTTTTCATATTCTTCGGGGGTGGTGAAAGGAAGATACCAAATTTAAGAGATCTCCAGGCAAGTGCGTGGAAGATGGAGGCAAGTAACCCCCAGCCCAACCATGTGGCTGCAGTAAGGCTGTCAAGAAATAAGTTTACAATAATAGAGGCAAAACCTTTATGCTTAATTGGAGTACTAGCAGGTATAGACTGTAGCATATTTAGACAGGGAGAAAACAGATAGTTTGAGAGTAGAGTTTTATGGAAATAAAAATATCTCGAGCAAAATATTTACTACCTTCATCAATGTAACTGGCCTAAGCTGAGAGGAGTTTTTTGGGGGGAGGGGAAGAGGTTCAGAAAGAAAAATGCCTTTTTCTTCTAATGTACCTGAAAGCAAGATTGGACACAGACCTTTAGACAAGAACAGCACAGCCTGAACTCTCAAGGGTCACTACTTGGGGGCTAGTTTCAAGCTAGGAACTGACTGTGAAGTAGGCCAAACCCACCCAAATCCAGAATAAGGCCAGCTAAAACGTGTATGGCTAGATGTGCTGATTAGCTGGATTTAGAACTTTTAGACAACTCAGAAACATACTCACTATAAACTCTTCTTTCTTAAGACTTTAAGTAGCTCCTTTCCGTTGGTTTCTTTATACGAAGTTATTTTTACAACTTCTACTATGTGTGTATCTGTGACTTAAAGGGGACAAATTCTGGAGTAGGACAGAGAAGGAAGCAGCACCTCATAGGGGTGTCAGTGGCTTGCACTGTTGAGCTGCAGAAGTGTCTGAAGGAGCTAAGACGTAGAGGCCGAGCTCTGGGGAATGGAGGTATGCGCCACCATGCTGCTTTCATCTTCCCATCCAGGGAGTACAACAGACTCTCAAGAACCGTCTGCAGCTATTACCATCATACCCCATGTATGGTTTCTGAATGTGCTAAAACAGAAACATATTTTTTCTTTGTAATCTTTGCCTGATTAACCTTTCCCCTTTAATAAGCTCCTCAGTTCTATATTAATTTGGCCTGTGGAGGCTTCACTTTACCTCTGATCCCTATCATTTTTCAGGGCTGGTGGTAGAATGCCAACAGGAACGATCACAGATAAAAAATAAAGAAATAGCCTTGCGTGTGTTGAGAGCTAAACTCTACCAGCAGATTGTTGAGAAAGACAAGTGTCAACAACAAAGCTCTAGGAAACTGCAGGTAAGATTAATTTAGTGTAATAATTTAATAACTGTACGAAAACTCCTTGTGCTATGTAGAAAGTGTAGTGTTTGCTCCTGCTTGAATGTAAATGTCTGAGAGCATAGGGGAACATGCTCGTTTGCAAATGAATGATGAGATGTGTGTAAACTAAAAATTATTTCCCAGTTGTTTCCTCCAGTGGTTCTAGCCTAACTGTCTTAGGAGAAAAGTGGATTAAAATAATAATAGAAGTAATTCTTTGGAAATTAATAGATTTTCAGATTTTTAATTTAAAAATCTATTCTTTTATTATTACAACTTACGTAGGATCAAAAATAAATGGCACTGGAAGAAACTGGTTACAAGGTGTCATGGATTGAATTGTGTCCCCCAAAAATGTCTGTTGGCTTGACTGGGTCATGATGCTCAGTACTGTATGATTATGTAACCTGATGTGATTTCCTTATGTGTTGTAAACTCTTATCACTATGATGGGGTTATACGTGATTTCCTGATGTGTTGTAAACTCTATCACTATGATGAGGTTATACTGATGAGGTCTGCAAGATTGGATAGTGTCTTAAACCAGTCTCTTTTGAGACATAAAAGAGAGAAGTGAGCAGAGACACATGGGAACCTCATACCACCAAGAAAGCAGTGCCGGGAGCAGAGCACGTCCTTTGGACCTGAGGTTCCTGCGCGGAGAAGCTCCTGGACAGGGGAAGACTGATGACACGGACCTTCCTTCAGAGTTGAGAGAGGGCCTTCCCCTGGAGCTGGTGCCCTGAATTTGGACTTGTAGCCTACTGGACTGTGAGAGAATAAATTTCTCTTTGTTAAAGCCATGCACTTATGGTATTTCTGTTATAGCAGCACTAGATAACTAAGACACAAGGATTGCTGTTATGGAATCTGGGGACAAGGGGCTGTGGGAGATTTATCTTTCGCTGGGTGGCTTTCAGATGGTTAAGCACTCAACTACTAGCTGAAAGGCTGGTGGTTCGAACCTGCCAGAAAACAGTCCTGGTGATCTGTTTCCAAAAGGTCACAGCCTCGAAAACCCTGTCGAGCTTCTGCACACGTGGGGTTGCCATGAGTTGGAATCGACTCGACAGCAACTAACAACATACCCTTTTATACCTTTTGAATTTTGTATTATATGTATATACAGTATTATTTATTGCAATACTTAAATAATAAATTCTAAGCAAAATGAATAAAGATAATCGTTTTTAATAAACAGTGTTGCATGTTATAATTCTGAGAACAGTGAAGGTTGTCTCAGAGAGGTTAGCAGAGAAAGCAGAATGCAGAAATAATTGTGCTTTTGTGTTATTTGCAGGTAGGTGTACCTACAATAAATTAAATTTACTAGGATGATGAATTGTATAAACCTAAACATTAATTATTCTTCTCACTTAGATGCCCTAGTCTTCTCACATTTTTGCCCTTCTAGCTTTCCTTACCCACATTCTAACTCGCAAGAAGTAAAAGTGACAGGTTAAATCGTCTGTTAATCCCCTATTTGATAATCCCAAATTGTGGAGCAGCATCAGTATCTATATTTGCAAATACGAAATGTTCAGTTACAAACTGTAATTTCTTAGCAACTAAATGATAACATAAACACCGCGAACCCTGGCACTTTTGAATTAATAAAAGACGTTAGGATTTCCTTGCCATTTTACATTTGGGTGCTAGGGATTCCACATAGTAATTTTTTAAATTAATATTCAAAATTGGCCTTTTGCAGATTGTGTGTATCTTCCTTAGTAGTCTGATTTGAGAGGCCAGAAAAGACCTCCCTGTCCCCCTCTTTCCAAAATCACTTGTCTACCTGCCTAAAATTTCTTTTCTTTTTTTTAATTGTGCTTTAGGTGAAAAGTTTACAGAGCAAATTAGTTTCCTGTTTGATAGTTTGTACATAAAGTGTTTCATGACCTTAGTTTCATTCCCCACAGTATGTCAGCACTCTCCTCATTTTTGTCCCTGTTCACCCATTTTTTTTCTTCCTGATTATCTAGACCTTCCTGTCTTCTTATCTTATAATTGATTGTTCTAAGGAGTACATTCCTCTCCAGTGTTATTGTTTATCTTATATGCTTGTCTATTGTTTGGCTCGGAGTTAGTCTCCAGGAATGGCTTAATTTCGAGGTCAGAAGGGTGTCTTAGGGCCATAGTCTTAGGGATTCCTCCAGTCTCTGTCAGACCAGCAAGCCTGGTCTTTTTTGTGAATTAGATTTTTTTGTCCTACAGATTTCTTCCACTCTGTCCAGGACCCTCTGTTTTGATCCCAGTCAGAGCAGTTGGTAGTGGTAGCCAGGCACCATTTAGTTCTTCTGGTCTCAAGGTTGTGTAAGCTGTGGTGCATGTGGTCCATTGGTCCTTTGGACTGATTGCTCCACTGAGTCTTTGGTCTCCTTCACTCTCCCTCACTCTGGATGGGAAGAGACCAATAGTTGTATCTTAGGTGGTCGCTAGCAAGCTTTTAAGACCCTAGACGCTACTCACCAAAGTAGGATGCAGAACGTTGACTTTGTGTACTATGTTATGCCAGTTGACATAGATGTCCCCTGAGTCTGTGGTCCTTTGTCTTCTAGCCTAGGAACTTTATCCCACGAGGTGTTTGGTTATGTCTAAGAGATTTCCCTGACTTTACCCCTTGTGTGCTCTATATGAGCGGCACCTACAATCATGTATCTAGAAATATCCACTACCAAACCTATATATGCTGGTGAGTGTGTTCCCTTACATCCATCCTCCCATGCCTCTTGGCATATCTATCTACCTATTTGTCCATTTGTAAATTATTGTTTGTTAATACTATTGCTGCAGGATTGTCTAAGCTATAGTAGTTACTGGAGTTGCCCTTTACCCTTATGTTCCTCTCAGTGTCCTCTCTTGCCTTGGTCCTACTGTACTGACTTCCCGCTTATATTGCCTTTCCCTTCACCAATATTAACTCGTGTCTTCTATTTAATCAGTAATTTTCCCTCCCTCATCCTCCCGTCCCTGGTAGCCATCAAAGAATGTTTTTTCTTTTTTTCCAGTGTGTAAATCTATTGTTGTTACTTTGTGGTAGTGGTCTCATACAATATTTGCCTTTTTGTGATTGACTTATTTGACTCAGCATAATGTCGTCCAAATTCATCCATGTTGTGAGATGTTTCGCAGATTTGTCATTATTCTTTATTATTGTGTAGTGTTCCATTGTGTATATGCACCACAGTCTGTTAGTCTGTTCATCTGCTGATGGGCACTTAGGTTGTTCCCATCTTTTTGCTATTGTGAAAAATGCTGCAATGATAGTGCATATGTCTAATCATGTCACAGCTCTTATTTCTTTAGGGTATATACCTAGGAGTAGGATTGCTAGATCATACAGTATTTCTATTTCTAGCTTTTTGAGGAAGCACCATACTGTTTTCCAAAGTGGTTATACCATTTTACATTCCCACCAACAGTGTATAAGAGTTCTGATCTCCTGGCAACCTCACCAACACTTGTTACTTTCTGTTTTTCTTTTTTTTTTTAATTAGTGCCAGTAGTGTCGGGGTGAGATGGTACCACATTGTAGTTTTGATTTGCATCTCTCTAATAGCTAATGATTGCAAGCATTTCTTCATATGTTTGTCAGCAGCCTGAATGTCTCCTTTGGTGAAGTGTCTATTCATATCTTCTGCTCGTTTTTTTAACTGGATTGTTTGTCTTTTTATTGTTGAGATGTTTAAGTTTTCTATAAATTTTAGAGATTAGTCCCTTGTTGGATATTTTGTAGCCAAAATTTATTTCCCAGTCTGTAGGTTCTTTTGACTCTTTTGGAGAAGTCTTTTGTTGAGCATAAGTGTTTAATTTTTAGGAGGTCCCATTTATCTAGTTCATCTTGTATCATGTGTGCATTTTTAGTTATGTTTGATACTTTATTTATACCATATATTAGGGCCTGACATTTCTTAATAGGGATTTCTAATGCTTAGAAGTTTTTGTTTAACCAATATATACAGTGGCTGTTATATGGAAGGCATTATACTGGGCCAGGTTCTTAACCCTGGCTGACTTAAATCATCTAAAGGGCTTTGTAGATGCCTAGGACTTACCTCTAGAGATTCTGATATAATGGATCGGGGGTGCGCCCCGAGCATCAACATGGTTCTTTAGGATAGCAGTTTCCACACCCAAATGATGGTCAGAATGGATGGCCCAGGAAATGTTTTAAAAATACTTAATCTGTGACTACTCAGTATATCCAAGGTTGGGTTTAGGAATTGTAATTTTTCTTAAATTTCCCTGATAATCAGCCATGTTTAGGAATTCAGTTTCACATTGCTTGCTTTAGAAGTTAAGAAAATGAATTACGGAAACGTCTTTTTTGTTTTTGTATTAATCTTAAAAAGTGAAAGCAGATGAGAGAAGGTGTGGTGCTTTGGAGAGGTGGGGGAGATGAGCAGACTAAGATGAATACAAATAACTCTTGCCTAAGGGAAACAGGAGACTGTGCTGTGAGGGAGATTACCAGCACAAGGGGTTTCAAAGGAGGGAAATAACACTTCCAGTTTGTTAGGACCAGGAAAGGCAGAGTTGGTAGGAGATTTGTTAGGAAAGGACATTCCTTGAGATAGTGTTTTAGCAGAGTTAACAGATATGTAATAATGATATGGTATAATAAGCAGCATGTTAGAGGTTCATATAATTTTCAGAAATATCACTGGGGAGGTTGGCCACATTATGAAGTGCCTTGAAAGCTGAGTTGAGTTGTGTCTGCTTAGTAGACAAGAAGGTACCAAAGAAAATTTAGCAGAAAACCTTGCTTTAGGAAGACTAAGCAAGGCGACACAATTAAGCAGAGAAGACTAATCAGGATATTTTTGCAGGAATGTAGGTGAAAGTAGTGAGCCCTTGAATGACAGTAGAAATGGAAAGGGCAGGATATAAGGGACCCTTGAATCCAGTTGGAAGTGGGCAGTTAGAGAATGGGATGAGTCGAAGGTGGTTTCTCCCCCAGTGTTTATCAGAACCTGACAGATAGTAAGCTCCCAGAAAGTGGTTGTTAAATTGCTAAATGTTAGTATTTCCTGCTTGCGTGAATGGGAAAATGGTAGTGTCATAGAAACCAGGAGGAACTGATTGGTGTGGAAAAATGATTAATTTGGTTGAAATATTTGGAATTTGACAGAGCAAAGCGGCATTGATTCTTATTCCGTAACTAAGCTTTACAGATGTGTAGTCTTGAATGTTAAGCTCTGCCTTTTTTTGTTCCTCATCACTTATATATATGACTTTTAGGAAATATTTGAACTGTTAAAAGTCCATTGCAAATACTTTTTCCATTGTAATGAAGGTAATTTGTAAAGTTAAAATACAAATTGTTTTTTGTTATGGCACAGGTGGGAACAAGAGCCCAGTCAGAGAGAATACGGACATATAATTTCACCCAGGATAGAGTCACTGACCACAGGATAGCATATGAAGTTCGTGATATTAAGGTAATATTACTGAGTATAAAGGTTACAGCCTAGAAAACCCTATGGGACAGTTCTGCTGTCATATAGGGCCGCTGTGAATCGGAATCAATTCAACGGCACACATTACATCACATCCTTTATCTACCTTTGATTTGCAAAGGAAGTATAGTCAAGTTTTAGAGAGCTATTCTAAAATAGGAGCCCTGGTGGCACAGTGGTTAGGAGTTTGGCTGCTAACCAAAAAGTTCGGCAGTTCGAATCCACCAGTTGCTCCTTGGAAACCCTGTGGTGCAGTTCTCCTCTGTCCTGTAGGGTTGCTATGAGCTGGAATCAACTAGAAAATATCACCAAGTAATTTAAAACCATTAAGCTAGTTTACATTAGTACCCTAAAATTTGCAAGCATTTTTATTGGTTGGTTAGAAATATGGTCTTTGTAACATTTTGACGTCTTTTACAATTCCAAATTCTTTGTTGGGCAATCACAATATATTAACATACATTCAACATACGTATACACATGCATATTCATTTTCTATTAGAAATTATAACTATTAAGTTTCTGGAGGTCAGAAGTCTAGGTATGGCCTTGTGGGTCTCACGCAAGGCTGGAATCAAAGGTGTTGGCCAAACTGCCTTTCTTTCTGGAGCTTGGAGTCCCCTTCAAAGCTCGTGTGTTTGTCCACAGAATTCCATTTCCTTGAGGTCGTAGGACTGAGGTCCCCATTGTCTTGCTGGCAGTCAGCTGGGGGCTGCTTTAAGCTTCTAAGGACCACCCACAGTTGCTTGCCATGTGGCCCCCCATATACCTTCTCATGCTTCAAATCTCTTCTTGCAGGAAGGGCTCAGGCCCACTTGGATAATACCTTTTTGATTAACTTAAAGTCAACTGATTAGGCACCTAATCATGGGAATGATATCCTATAATATTCACAGATTCTGCTAGCACTTAAGGGGAGGGAATTATACAAGGTGTATAAACCAAAGAGCTTCTTAGAATTCTACCTACACAGTTTGTATTCATTAAATTCAGCTGTTACAATTAATGCTATTGAGGAAAAGACCATGTCAAGATGGCTTGAACATTAACCTAGTGAAATCCCTTGTAACCAGGACCACTAACATTTATACATGAATGATGAAGCACAAAAATTTTCCCATTCACTTCTGTTGAAGGGGAAAAGTGAACAAGTTCGCATAAATGGCTACATGGAAAAGGCAGAAGACAGAAAGTTTTGGTCCTGTTCTTGGTGCCATGTTGATTCTTTTACTTGATTCTGTCCCGTTCCATACTTGAATTCAAAGTCTTAATTTTACATTTTACAATGGAGATGGTTTTTTTTTTATTGAGGTAAATATATAGGTAACAAAACATTTGCCATTTCTACAATCTTCACATGTATAGTTCAGTGACAGTTACGTTCATCATGTTGTTCAACCATCATTAACCATTCCCGAATTTTTCCATCATCCTCCTGAACACAGAAGCTCAGTGTTCCCTAAGCATTGTGTCTTCCTTTTCCCCTCCCTCCTGACCACCCCTGGTAACCACTAATAAATTTTGATTTCTATATACTTGCCTGTTCTACATACTATATTTTCTTAACATATGTATATATTTCTATGTATCTTATGCTACTTCCTCTGTCTTCTAGGCAATTTAAGGCTGCCTTCATATGAACATAGTAGTCTTGTAGAAATGGAGAAAATATTTGCTAACTTCCCTTTCCTCAGGAAACACACAGTAATAACCAAATATGTTTAGCCATATTGTTCTAATTACACCACGTTCTTTCCGTTGTTTTTCTGGTAGTAGTGACGATTTTTCCTGAGACAGCCACATTCTTGTGACCAGTATTATTTTTTAGATGGGCACCTAGGTGTACAGTATAGTATTCAGCTATGAAACATCCAAATAGATTTTATAATTATAAAATACATGAGTTTAGCCAAAATACTGACATGCTATTGCTAACTACACTATCATACCAGACTCAAAAATAATAAGGAAAATTATACTAGTATGCTTTAATAGGGTGCACCAGTGGTGCAGTGGTTAAAGCACTCAACTGCCAACCAAAAGGTTGGCAGTTTGAAGCCACCAGCCGCTCTGCGAGAGAAAGATGTGGCAGTCTACTTCCATAAGGATTACAGCCTTGGAAACTCTATGGGGCAGTTCTGCTCTGTCCTGTAGGGTAGCTATGTGTCAGAATCAACTTGACGGCAACAGGTTATGCTTTAATAATCACCAACCAGCCTATTGGAAAGACAGAATGAAGAATAATCTGTCCCAAAAGGTGAACTTGAATTGATGATCAGATGTGTGTATGTCTCTGTCTGTCTGATAGTTCCTCATAAATGTAATATCTTTAGAGGTTTTAAACACGTATGCAGTGTGATGATTGATGCACATTTTGATTGACTTTTAAAATTAGAGTAATCTATTTGGCTTTTCTACATTCCTCTCTTTCCCTTTTTTTTTTTCCCTGCCTGAAAGGAAAGCGCAAGGAGAATCATTCACTACCTACCTGCAAGGAAATGCAGCTGCTAATTAAGTACACCTAACTGGAAGAAGATGTAGTAGTATAAAACCTGTTGCCATCGAGTTAATTCCAACTCATAGTGACCCTACTTCAGAGATTATACCTTTCTAATATCGAGAACATTTCTAAAAGGAGTGTCAGAGCCAACTGAAGTAATTTAATCAAGGCCATAAAGTGAATAAACTCTATGGGGAATACTACTTTTAAAAAATATGTTTCCCTTTTCTTTTCATCTTTTTCTGTTCCACTTATCTTGGCTTGGTCTGAGGGCAAGTCAAACTGTCAGACAGTGTTTATTCAAACCCCTGTGGTGAAAAGGACCATGACAAATCTAAAGATATACAAAGCTAAGAGTCAGGTTATGGAAACAACTATGTATTCAGTACTAAATAGAAACATAAGTGAAGAATGACCGTTTGATTCAAGGGATGTCAAAAGATAGTTCATTGGTTACACGACTGTATGCATTTGTGAAAACTCATTGAAGTGTATACCAAAAAGGATGAGTTTTAATATATGCAAATTATACCCTAATAAACCTGACTTTAAAAAAAAAGATAAGGATCAGTCGAAAAATGGGAAACAACCCAAATGACCATCAAGAGGTGAATGGATAAATTGTGGTATATCCTTACAATAGGATACTACTCAGTAATAAAAAGGAACAAACTAAAATTACTGATATATGCAAACACATGAATGAATTGCAAAATCATTAGCTTGAATGAAAGAAGCCATGCACAAAAGAATACACACTGTATGATGGCATTTAGGTAGTATTCTAGGAGAGGTAACACTAAATTATAGTGATGAAAACACATCAGTGGTTGCCTGGAGTTAGGAAACTTGACTGTAAAAGGCCACAAGGGAACCTTCTGGGGTGATGGAAATGTTCCACATCTTGATTAGGATTCTCATTATATAGAGGTATATTTGTCAAAACTCATCAAAGTAGATGCTTAAAAATTGTTCATTTTATTGTATGTAAATTATATCTCAATAAAGTTGACTTAGAAACATTTTTTTAAATTTTGAAGGGTAATTCATGAATGGTAAACACAGTAAATATCATAGGAGTTTAAAGAAAGTATAGGTTTAGAATGACCTAGAAAGTTTTCTACAAGAGGAGGGATTTGAGTTGCTTTAGAGCTCAGTTGCTAACCGTAAGGTCAGCAGTTCAAACTCACCAGCTGCTCCGTGGGAGAAAAGACCTGGCGATTTGCTCCCGTAAAGGTAACAGCCTAGGAAACCCTATGGGGCAGTTCTACCCTGTCATATAAGGTCACTGTGAGTCGGAATCGACTCAACGGCACACGAGAACGACATAAGGAAATGAAGTAAATATACACTTAACTCTTTGCTTTGTTTCTCATTTATTTCTAATAATCAGATTTTCACAATAGCTCTGTCTTTTACCAGGAATTTCTATGTGGTGAGAAGGCCCTGGATCAGCTAATTCAGAGACTGCTTCAATCAGCAGACGAAGAAGCCATGGCTGAACTTTTGGATAAAAACCTTAAATCAGCAAAATAAATGCTGATTTATTATTTATTGTTTTATAAATGAAGTGGACCTGTATCAAGAGGAAGACTGAGGCAGGGAAATCTTTATGAATTTTCATAAAGTACAGCTGAAAGTGCACAGTACTTACAAATATTTTTTTAATGAATCAAGTCACATTTCTTGATCTAGGAGTTTATTTTAGGTTTCCTGTAAGGCACAATCCAACTCTTGAAGTAGAAAACAAGCATGCATCATTGAAAAGAGAAAGTATTGAGAATTGGTAATGTGTGTTAGGATAGATCACTTGACCTCTTTATATGCCTTTTCTTAGCCATCTATAAATTCATTTGGAGTCCCTGGGTGGTACAAATGGTTAATGTCCTCAGCTGCTAACTGAAAGGCTGGTGGTTAGAGTCCACCGAGAGACGCCTCAGAGAAAGGCCCAGCAATCAGCTTTTGAAAAGTCAGCCTTTGAAAACACTATGGAGAACAGTTCCTCTCTGACACACATGGGGTTTCCATGAGTTGGAGTCAACTTGACAGCAACTGTTTTTTTTTTTTTAATAAGTTAAACACATTTTTCAATTCAGGAAAATGTAAAATTTAGTCATGTAAGAGTTATAAAGTTTTTTTGTAAACCCTTTACTTAAAGGCAAAGTATTATTTATCATGTCAAAGTTAGAACTTTAAGTTCTACTTTTAAATAACACATATAAATTGTGAAGAATTTGAGCCCCTCAGTAATAATGAACATCTGAGGAAACAGATTGTAAAGTTCTTTGAAAGCTGAATGAATTCTATACTGTATAAATTACAAACCAATATTTAAAGTAGATTCTGTGTGGCTTCTATTTCTTATTGTTCTTTGGCTTAATAAGCATCAACAGATGGTCTAATATGAGTAATTCACCATAGTAAGTTTTGTGCAGTGATTTATAAAACACAATCCTTACTTTAAGGAACTTCCAGTTGAGTGACGGAGCCAAACATATAAATCACAAATTGTAATACCAAGTGGCATGATGTATTTGGTAATTGTTCTGAGGAAGTTCCTTGAGTAAGAAAAGAGGAGTATGCCAGGAAAGACTAGCTGAAACAGAGCTGAAATGGAATTATTTGAAGATAAAGATGAAATTATTTCCCAAATTTTTGTGTTGAAAATTTTCAAGCATACTGAAAATTTCTTTTAAAAAATTAAAAAATTTAAGTTCAATGAACACTAGATTCAGCTATTGTCATGGATTGAATTATGCTCCCCTAAAAGTGTGATCAATTTGGCTGGGCCATAATTCCCAGTATTGTCCGGTTGTCCTCCATTTTGTTATTGTAATTTTGTTAAAGAGGATTAGGGTGGGATTGTATAACACCCTTACTAAGGTCACATCCCTGATCCAATGTAAAGGGAGTTTCCCTAGTGTGTGGCCTGCAACACCTTCTATCTTACAAGAGATAAAAGGAGAGGGAAGCAAGCAGAGAATGGGGGACCTCATACCACTAAGAAAGCAGTGCTGGGAACAGAGCACATCCTTTGGACCCCAGGTTCCTGCGCGGAGAAGCTCCTAGTCCAAGGGAAGATTGAAGACAGGGACCTTCCTCCAGAGCCAACAGAGAGAGAAGGCCTTCCCCCGGAGCAGACTCCCTGAATTTGGACTTCTAGCCTACTAGACTGTGAGAAAATAAATTTGTTTGTTAAAGCCATACACTGGTATTTCTGTTATAGTGGTACTAGATGACTAAGACAACTATTGTTAACATTTTACCACGTTTATTCTCTCTACACATAACACACACCTGTGTGGTGTGACAGTGTTGAATTTTACCTGAGCCCTGTGATTCTGGCAAGTGTTGATAGTTACGAACTGTTCCCACCATCCCCATCCTTTGTGTTCCAGAAAACAGTTTACTGCAAAGAACTACCTTTCCTGAGTGGCGTCTGGGGTCTTAAAAGCTTGCAAGCGGCCATCTAAGATGCATCAATTGGTCCCAACCACCTGGAGTAAAGGAGAATGAAGAACACCAAA